AGAAGGAAATACAGTTTGTTGATCTATGAATGCAAAACATTCGATTTGCAGTCTATTGTTTGTTTTCTTACTGGTTCAAAATCATAAGGACCAAAGAAATCTGAATAAGAGACTATCTTATGGTTCTTCTGTTCTTATGGTTTATTTTTTTCCCCATGGTCATCCACAGCTACCCTCTGTGTCAGTACTTCTCAAACTTCAACAGTACAAGGACTATCTACCCTCATCAAAAACCATCCAGGGACTGTCTTGTACAACCCTTCCATTTTTAGTATCAAGATTTGGTTTAACTGGGATCAGCCATGTATTACTCTTATTTTTTCCTATCTGTTTTGCCTGCCTGCCAAACTGGAGTGTGTGTTGAGTGTTTGGTTTCTTGTGCCTTCTTCCTTTGGGGGTTTGGATATCCTGTGACTGTTTGGCAGTCACCAGTGTCTGCAGGCCACCAGTGGTGCACAGGCCTTGAGTAGAGAAGCACTGCTCAGCATCTCTTACTAAAGCAAGTCTGCAGTATAAAGATTTACACCAATTCTCATTGCCAGAAAACTCTCTTTTCCAAGCTGGTTTTTGGTCTGCATCTTACCCATCTTTACATCCCTTTACTCCTGTCACTATTGTTGAACTTCACCTGGCCCTGGCACTGACTCCCTGGTTTGAGTGCTCTTTTACCTCTCTGTTGTTGGTTAGCTGTGTTACTCCTCCTGTAAACTGGCCTTCATCAGTCAAATCTTCCGCCTTCTTAATAGTGTTGTTGCTGTGTGGGAATGGAACAGTGCTCTGACAAAGCTCACCCCACAGCAGGACATGCCAGAGCTGACTGCCCTGGTGCTGTGACTGCTGCCAAGTCACCTGTGACCTGTTAGTGCTGCCTTGCTGTCTTCAGGGGTCCCACTGCAAACTGCCTTTGCAAAGAACGTGATCCCAGCCATGATCTCCATTCAAGGATGAGGGAGGGATAAAGTGTAGGTAGCAGTGAAAGAACAGAAATAACAGTTGAAAAAAAGAATGGCATAGGTGAGAAATGAGGATGGGGGTGAGAAAAAATACAGGAAGTAAGAAAGAGGAGTGAGAGAGCTCCCTGTGAGATCAGATAATCTTGAAGAAAAGGGAGCATATTTGAAGGAAAATATGGAAAGCAGACACCACAAAGTTTGTGCCAAGGCATACAATAAAAATGAGGACAAGGACGGGGGAGGAACAGAGTGACAGAATTTTGACTTTTAAATTTAATTACAGTATGTTGTTTCTAACAACAAAAGTGCTACAGATACTCTTGGTAGTTGTCTGAAATGAGAGCTGGACCCTCTCCTGATCTGAAGAATCTTTTCTTGTTGCTGTTAGGTTGGCAGTTCTGGACCTGACAAGGTCCACCTGGAGTCCTGGCCATATTTCAAATGCAGGACTCTCAGAGACAACCAGGCAGTTAGAAAAGAAAGAAATACCATTCTCTAAGTGTGCACTATAGCAGTGTACACCCTCTTAATTTACAGCAGTCCTTTAACTTACAAACAGATTTTTCCTGCTGATATCTTCAGTTCAGCATAGGCTGCATGACAATAGGGGTAATAATTGGGGTTATCTTTTTATGTGTGATACAGTGTATGCACCCAAAAGGGGGGAGGAAGTGCCTGAGTTTTAATTTCAGATCCAATGTGAAAAGCATAGAAATTGCATTTGTAATAATCCTTTAGGATTTAAGGCCACTTGTACATAGCCAAGGATGGAAGATGAGGCAGAGTCCTTTCCAAACTTGCTGTTTTCGAAGAAGAGTCTTCCAGTCAGCAGTATCTCAGTGCTCAACACAGAACTGAGTGTTGGTGGTAGAAGAGCAACAGCATCAGCTCCTTGCATAGGTTCTGCATTGTATCAGGTGTTTGTTCTGACACATACAGAGTCACTTCTGCTAGCAGTACATGGCCAGTGCAGCTCCATGGGAGGTGTGGCATGGCTGTCGCCTCATGCTATAGTAGTTCTCAGACTGCTCTTATGAAAGTGCTTCGTCCACAGTAGGGCTCTCAGGTGCAAATGAGAATATTGCTTGGGTTTAGACTGGAGGATTAGTCTGTAGCATCAACAATTAGGTGGAGTCAGAATCATGTCACCTTCTCACCTTTAGACTGTTATTTGTTTGTATATATTTACTGTTGTTCTTTTTGGCAATGATTTTCCATGGTGTCTTGTCACAGCTAGTTTGTGAAGAAGCAGTGACAGTGCCAAGGGTCCAGCACCTGACCACAGCTCAGTAAGTTCACACTAAAGGAATTTACCTTGGCAGAAGGAGAGGGGAGGGTTTGGTGTACCACTGGGTGTTCATTTGCACCACGTGGATCATATGGTGTAGTTCCATGCGGATGTAAATCAGTACTGAATTGACCCTCAGCCATTGAATAAGGTCTGTCCTGGACCTCAGTGCAGAGAAGGTGTGCAGAGACTGCTGTCAGTCTGATAGCAGGAGCTTGGTGATGAGAGAAAGCTTTAGCATGTGTTTGCCACCCTGGGAAGGAGGAGAGGATGATTGCTAGCACTTGGAGGACTCTTTTTTTTAAATCTACAGCTATCTTCAGAATTTCAGTGTGTGCAGTTGAACTCAGAGTGGCAGTTTTCTAGCTGTAGGCTGTACTGAAATCTTGTGTTGAGCAAGGGTTTGTTTGTCCTCAGGTCTGGCTGTGAATTAATGGTCTGTTTTAGAGGTTTCAGTGGGCTAGAATTGCCTTCTTGGTGGAGAAAATGCCAATGCTGTGCAATGTCAGCGGGAGCACTTTCAGATGCTAAGAGTCTTCTCTGCTACTTTTTGTTGATCCAGATGGTCTTTTCTAAGCACAATGTCAAAGGAATTACTGTTTTACCCTTCCTTCATCTCCCCATGCAAGTGTCATGTAATCAGCAGGAAAACTGAATCCTCCCTGTCTCCTGTTCCTGTTTGCATGGGAGAGAAACGGAGGGAAGTGAGATGGAACCATAGTCCCTCTGCATTTGCACTCTGAAAGCAAAGTTATTTGTGAGCCTTAAGCATGTGGGTGGGAGAGCTGCCAAGTCAAAGTTGTTCCCAAGTATCTGTAATCTAAATCTTATTCCTTAAATTCATCCAACTAAGGAACTTTTGGTCTGGCAAAGGCTTGTAAATATTACAGTACCTGTCACTTTTGGATGCTGCTTTCTGTTTTCATAGCAGCAAACTAAAAGCTTTGAAGTCTGGGATGTTTTGTTTAGCTTTGTAGAGGTTGACCTCAAAGCATCAATCTTTCTGCTCCTTTTAGAATGTATGAAAATAGCCTTTTCATTTCTCAGAAAACTTCTTGTTAGCAACAGCACTGCTAGTGGTCAGAGTTCTCAGATATTCTCAAAGCCTTGAGGATGTATTGAGACATGTATACCGAAAATATAGAGAGTTTTGCATCTCTGTAATTTTCAGAGATGATTCAGTTTTCTTTATATACATATTATATATATATATATTATATACTTACAATGAAATTAAAAGCATTAATCTAAACAATGTTTATTAAGTGATTTCTGAATGCTCAGAATGGCTCTCTCAGAGTACATAGTTAACTTTCCTGGGATTTTTAGTTCACATGTACTTTTCAGTTTCTGCACTTATCTGGACAGAATGGGCTCCACCTGTTTGGACTCTTTGTGCTTACATCAGGTTAGATGTGAATGGTAATAACAGTCATGTTTTGCTAATTTTTAAGACAAGTTGCTGGTTGATAAAAACCTGTGACTTGAGTTTGCCAGATACAGTTGCTCCCGTAATTTGTGCTCATCTCCAGTTCTTCTTGGATGAAGGTGTGTCACAGTGTTTCTCTTGAAATAAGTCTTAAAAGTGAGTCCTGACAGACACATTCTGAATTAAATCGAGTACTGTGCAGCTAACTCAAGTTATCACTCCTTGATGGCTCCAAAGTTAACCTGGTCACAGCTAAAACTCCTGAAGGTAGTACTTTAAAGACTGTGCTCCCTGAGGAGGTAAATTGGATAGTTGCTTGTACTTGGGTGATGTTCTCGATTTGGATTTTGTCAGTGTGTGCACAGCTTTTGTCTGAAAATCCTTGGGTGTGCTGACCTGTCCTGGAGCTGTGGCTGAAGCCAACGTTCTCTTTGCACTTGAAATTCAAACCTAGCCCTCTTGAGCAATTTATGCTCAAGTGCTGTGAGTCTTACAGTGGTTTCTCCCTTTCCTGCTGCATTCCTAGGGGTATCTAAGTATTCTTACACTGAACAGGAAGTGAATCCTAGAGCAAGTCAACCTACTGAGTCACTAAGAAAGCTCGGTTTTGACCCCAGCCTTCCCACAACCCCATGTGAACAGCACAACATCAGCAGAAACACTCTGGAGCAGACCTGCTCTGTTCAGTTTTACCATGGTTCCTGTGTTCTTTCTCTTTAACCAGACCCCACTGAGCGGTCTTGACATGGTGTCTTGGTGTCTCAGTGGTGCTCTGATTGGCTTTGCCAGACCAAATGAGCACTGCTTTTGTGGCAGAGAGGTCCCAATGAACAGCAGAATGTATTACATGACTGGCACCTTGACTGAAGTAAATTCACACTCAGCCACTTGAGGAGCCATATAGGAATGACGGCTTTGTGAGACTGCCTGTTCCAGTCAACTTTGCTGACCATTCAGTTTTTTTTAAAATGTTTTAGAAAATTATGATTGAAGGCATAAAGTCAAGAGCTAAGATCTCGACTGCTTTTCACCTCACTGGCTAAGTCTTTTGCAGCTGCGTGTTCCTAAGCAGGTGATCATTTTTGCTGCCTGACTGAAAATACTGGCTTTATATTTCCATTTAGATTATCTGAAAATTGAGACTTTCATCTTCTGAAATGTTTCCAGAAACCCAAATTCAGTCTTGGTTTATAGTCTTTTTGGTGCTTTAATTTCAGCTGTTAAAGTGAAGTGGGCTATCAGGAAGCAGTTAGTACGGAGAGAGCTGTTAATGATGCAGCTGAGAACTTAAACCCCTCATCTCCATTTGAGTCTTTTTTTTGTCTTGCAGATGAGAGGATCTGTTCACCACCCTTTATGGAGCTGACAAGTGCCTGTGGAGAAGATACCTTGCAGCTTATAGAGAAGAATGGACTGGCATTCCCATTCAGTATGTACATGGGCTTTTTCTTGGAGCTTCTAGTAGGTTCTGAATATTGCACATGCATTCCCCAAAGCATTGCCAGCATTGTAGGAGTGCGGGTTTCACTTCGGGTTTCGCTGCCAAAAGTGTCAGGGATGTTAAAACCTTCCTGAAATAAATGCTCTAAAGCAGCGTTTGGAATGTGGGACAAAACCTCTCCCTATCAGCTTTTACTTTGCCTTTTATTGATGTTCCTTACTTTAAACACCTCACTAAAGTAAACATGCATTCCTTGGAAATGGTAATAGTTCTAACAAAGTTAGCCTCTTGCCCTGAACTTGTGCAAGGTGTTTCTCCTGCCAGCTGCAGTCATTGTTTTTCTTGAGAAAATCACTGCCTTCCTGATTGTCCTCTTTTTTCACCCACCTCTCCGTTTCCCTGATCCAGATTACAAATATAATCATAGAGAGTCGAAGGAAAAGGGTAAAAAATTTACCATGTATAACAGACTCCAAGGGCCCACAGCCTCAAACAGCTGCTATGAACTGTTTGTGCTTTGTAGCAAGTTTCATTATGGGGCTTGTGCTTTAATTCGTTCCTTTATTTGATTCCTTGCAGTATAAAGTGAGCAGAATCGGTTAGTCGGTGTTTGTTCCCTTGGTGCTTGCCTCATTTGTAAGGTTCAGAGGTAAAGTTGCGTGGAAAAAGCATGTTTTGCCCTCCCTGCCATCGCTCTCCCAAATGAGGCAGGTCTCCTGAAGCTAGATTGGGAAGCAGGAATTTAAAGCCCACTGAACGGCTCTGACCCCCTCTTCACATTGTGCTCTCAATACAGGCTGACTGGTCCTCAGTAGTCAGCAGCATAGCCCATATATCCAGAAGGTCTGAATCAACCTCTCTAAATGATGATGAAATTAAAAAATAGCACTTAAAATTTATACAACTTGGTACTCTGGGAATGCTTTTTCTTCTTTCTCTCTCTTTTTTTATTTTTTTCTTAAAAACACTCTGGTTCTCCAGAGCATGTGTCTGTGAGACATGGTATACCACTTTCCAAAACTTCAAGTTACCAACTTATTTTGGATTCTAGCACAGGTCATCAGCCTTTCATAGCTGCCTGCCCTCTTGCCTGGCAATTAGATTCTTCCAACAACCTCCAAAGAAGTCCCATCCTATCCATCCACCCCCTCACTACTTGCAAAGTTTTTATCTCTTTTGCTTAACACTTAAGTAACATTAGCTCTAGTGATCATGTGGGTCCTAGGGTCTTCAGCTCTTCTCTGATTTCTTAGCAGAAGGAGCATTTTGTTTCTTTCCTCTTACTGGTTTTACTCCTCCTCTTACTTAGGCTAGAGTGAGAACCAGGATATACAGAGCTGATAAGAAATATGAGAGAAAAAGAACTGCTAGACTCTCTACCTTTCTTTGTCCCCCTCTATGATTGCCTATGAAAAATAAGCTGTATATTAGTTTGATAGAGCTCATTAGGTTTCCTACTCTTCCCCAAAAACCGGGAGGTAGGAAAATAAGTCCCAATCACTGTGTCCCAATTCCTTTGTTTTCAGGACAGTAGTGTTTTGTGGTACCTGTAAAGTAGCTCCAGCCTCAGAAAAAAATCACATACTTGTGAAAATGCTCTCTGAGTAGGCAGGTGGCAATCCCATACTAGTACTAACTTCTTAGCTGATGCTTTGCAACTCTATCCAGTCCTAATAACGGTCTGTGCTTGCACCTTAGTTACAGGGAGGAGTTGAGAGAATAGGGCTTGGAGTAAGCCAAGCTTTGCAATAATTGAGGACACTGTTCAAGCAGAGACTGTCGCTGGTGTCTGGCACAGTCAATGCCTTGGTCTGGTGAACTCCAGTGTTTGCATGTGTGGGTGGGAACAGGATTGTAAGGGGTTTGTGTGTCCTGTTTCAGTGGTGAATTGTTTTTTTCTTTTTTATTTACCCAGTTTGTAAAACCAGAGTGGCCCATGGAACCAACTCTCATGAGGTAAGTTAAAAAACTTTGCAGTATTATGACCCTGCTTCCAGTCCCCCTCATGATGGTTTGGCTGGTGATTTCCAATCCTGTAGTAGGCTGAATGAGGTCTGTGCTCAAACAACTTTTCTTCCCTGCCTCTCCCTCATGTTTAATTGCACCATTATTTTTTCAATAATCTGAAATGAAGTTAAATATGACTTGAACTTCCAGACATGGAAATTATTTTTAGCACTTTCTAGCTTCTATCATCTTGTTGTGTCTAGCAGTTTGTAGTCTCCAGTTAGCTCTGTCTCCAAGGAATCTCCTTCAGACTCTCCTTTGGTGAGAGGTCACACTAAATAGTGTTTCCATCTCACAGTGTTACTTTCCAACATGTATGTGGGACAGATGAGAAGGAGGTTTGTTCTTCAAATGGAGCAGCTGGCTCCTTTCCTTGACGGAAAGGAGGAACAAATAGATACTGTTTCCAGGCATGTTCAATTGTAATAACACAGGGGGATCTGTGGGGAGAACAGTGCTGGTAGAGCTTAGCTTATCTGCCTTCCTGTAAGGCAATTGCAGCTAAAATGGTTGTATATTCCTGGAAGGAGTGCATTACCTGTGAGACTAGCTTTCTCTAAATTTAGGTGAGTAGAGTCCTGTTTTAATTCTTTTCCATTTGTGCTTCCTGCCTTCCTGCTTACTGCAGCTCAGTTTTGAGAATCCAGCCCTTGCTGCTGGCTCTTCTAATTCCCAGCTTCCTTTGTTAGCAACGTGGTCATCAGTCCATGTTTCCCAGCTGCTTCTGAAATATGTGCTATGTTGCTGAAATGTCTCTAAGAGCTGAAGGCCCTGAAGTAAAATGTTAGTCTAGACAAGCAGAATGGCCATGGCTGAAATCTTAACTGAACAGCACTTTGTTTTAAAAATGCAGAGAGATTTTTCAGTCAGGTCTTACCTTGGATTATTTTACAAGCCAACACACAGTCCTATTAGTTGCTGGAGCAACTGCTATAAATTTTTGCTGTTGTTACCAAGAACACTTGGGGGCTGGATTAATTTATGAATTTCTGGATTAGTTAATGAGTTTCAGACTCAATTCTGTCAGGAGTTCCTCTGCAACTGCAGCCTGAAATGCATGAACCTTTCAGTGCGTGTCTGGTCAGGCTTGGACTTTGTTTCCCTGGTGAATCTTTCTTTGATCTTCTTTCATACCATGCTGACATACCTCAGCCTCCTGCCAGAATTCCATTTTCTGAGCAAAAATTAGACTAAAATACAGTTGTAGGCTGCACTTTATCACAGAAACTTATGACAAGAGCCTAGGAGGACCCCTGGAAATAAGCCTGAAATCTTGCATGGCACTCTACATGGTTAGTAGTAGCAACTTTTGGAGTTGCTGAGTTCTCAGGAATGATCCAAAGTGTATTTATGATCAGAGTGGAACTGTCTTGTAATTGCTTATGGTCAGTAATATGAAGGGAAGCATAGAGTAAGTATCTGCTTACAGTACAGTCTGTCTAAATGGTGAAGCATAGGTCTCGAAGCAATAAATTGTTGCCTGTTTCATAAATGACTCCTTCTTTGGCTTTTGGTAAACCACTTCATTTTTTGTAGATGTATTTTCACTGCATAGTTGACACCAGAACCAAAACACTGACCAGAAACCTACTTTTCTTCATAAGATAGCTGTTCAAAAAGTTCAAGTGCTGGCTAACAGGGACAGCTGAAGGTGCAGGCTAGAGTTTGGGTTTGGTACCAGCCAAGGCTGATGGACTCCACACTTCTCAAGTGAGAACATGCTGTAGTTAAGCTGAGGTGCTGTTAGTGTTCTTGTGGTGTCCTGCAGTTCTACGTGGCCTCTGCACTAGCAGCTGCCTTGGCCAGCTCAGCACTTGAACCCTGCTGTGCCAGCACAGTTTGTTAAACTTGAACAGAGATGATGGCTGGAAGTTGTGCTTCTGCCTGCCAGCAGGTCAGAGCATAATTAACCTTCAGTACAGCTGCCATGAGAGACCCATAGCCTGAAGAATTGTGTCCAGAATTACTTTTTCTGAGTGAGAAAAAGGCAGAGAATCACTATGCTTTTTGAGACTGAATTCCTTAAGGACACTGTCAGTAAAAAATACTAGTGAAATGTTTAGTTTTGCCTTCAAGATGGCTCTGCATTTATAATGAGGAATGCTGTTTGGAAATTATGACATCAAGTATTGTTCCCATGTTACTGCCAGACACAGCAGGTCTGTGCTACATAAAAAAGAGCAAGTGCACCCTGCAAGAGAATTCTTGGAGCTCTATTCATGCATGTTAAAAACCATGAGACATCACAGTGAACCAGCGTAAAGCAACACCACGGGAGTTATACGGGTTGTGTGCTAGTCCATGGGCTGTCAGCACAGAGCTTTGCAGAAGAGAGGTTTCACATAGTTTCCAGTAGTCTAGGTCAGCTGTGTGCTGAGAAGATAAACTCTCTGGCTTTCCACACTTCTAAAATTGGCTGATAAATACCTGTTCATCTTGTGGGGTTTTTTGTGGGAATCAATTATTATTGGAAGAGAACGCTATAGGAACAGCACAGTTCTTGCCAGTTGGAGATTATATAAAGCCAGCATTCTGCATAGGAGGAAGAGTGTTTCTTGCCACCAGTGAGAAATAAATGATGTACGATGTTGTTGCTGTGAATCATCTTGATGGATGATTCTGCCGGTTAGAGAAGTTTCTTGCACAGGTTGTTACCACTTGCAAATTCAGTCCATACTGTCAAATAGAAAGCACCTGGTGTAATAGAGACAGAATATCAGCTGCAAGTATGCATTGAAAGGACACATTGACTGGAACTCAGAAAATGTTAACCTACTGAGTCATTGTGCACGTGTGCAGACAGTTGTGTGATCTGAAGTGGACTACCAGATAAGGAGCAATAAGGACAAAAATGTGTGCTCAGACTTTTAACTATGAATATGTAATCACTACATCATTTACGGCAACCATGTTTTTTGAACGACAGACAAAACCCAAAAACCTATTATATTTGCTATTTTTTTTATAGGAGCAAACTAAGGTGTTAGCAAAAGTTCCATCTGAAAGTACAGCATTCATCAAATGAGCAGTTGATAATATGTAATACATGAGAGAGAACGTAAAGGTATAAAGTTTCTTTGTAAAATCCTTCCAGTGACCCTGACTTCATTAAGACACTAAGCATGAAAACTGACAGAAAGTATATGGAAAGCAGAAGCAAGCAGTGTAACTCATCTGCACTGTGCTGAGGCAGGAAGGAGGCCATTTTATTTTATGTATCACTGTGGAGTTACTTTAGGGCTGAGAGGAATTCTCTTAGCTTCTCTGGACTGTCTTGCATCCTGAGTAAAAGAGTACACCCAACCAGGACAGTGAGAAAATATTAAGTCTTACAAAACCACTTGAGTTTCAGAGCTTAGGAATTTTTCTGATAAGTATTTTGCATCCTACACTGACTGAGGTGGGCAGCAGGCTCAAGACTTGGCTATTAGCTGTTGTCTTCAAGACACTTAGGAGGGGAAGGGTGCTGTTGTCTTCAAGACTCTTCAGAGAGGGAATGTGTTCTAGCCAAAGCATCCCTGCCTGTGGCAGGGAGTTTCTTCCAGAGGAAAGAAAGATAAAATGTATGTCATTCTGACCTTGAACACTCCTTATTCACCTTACTACAACATTCTCCACTGCCACTGCGCATAACAAGGCCCAGCATTGCTGGAGTAGTGAAGACAAGCTAATATTCAGATCCCTAGAGCATAGCTTTTTCAGGGCTTTGAGGATGGAGAGCAAACCTAGGTTTATCCTCAATAATAGGAAATTACTTTATACATTGGTATAATGTAATTTCATCACCTGTGCCAGAATGGTGCTTGCTGCTGGTTCTGTGTAGGAGCCATGTCAGCACCAACAACAAACCTGCAAAATGGGACACTGTGGTTATGCTAACTTTATATATGCATGTAAGCACATAGTAACGGAGAGGTTGAGGAAAAGACTAGTGTAACGTGCTGAAGATAAGCTGTCTCATCAAAGTATTTCTGTCCTACCAACATTGCTTCCATGCTGCCTGAGGCAGCTGTTGGTCATCATTCAGGCCCTATAAATCCCTTCCTTTTTACCATATTTATTCCAGTGCCTTCAAGAGGACTGTCCATTTGTAGTAACGGAGTGAAACCAAGGAAAATCAGTAGGCCAACATTTGTTAGCAGTAAGAACTACTAGAGTCTGAAAAATGTTCTCTGATGGGATGGGTGAAGCCCCAATACTTAGGTTGTTGCAACTGGACTGAGCCAAACCATGGGGAATAGAGCAGTGGGGAAAAACTCATATAGTTAGTACAACAGAGCTGTTCCTTGTGTTGTACTCATGCTACAGGCTTGTATTCAATACAGACTTTGTCATCTGTGTTGGTCAGATGTTTTACCCTTTTGTTGTACATGCAGTGGCAGTAGCTTCCCAACTAAAGGCAGAAAATGAAGTTGCAAAGAGCTGATCAGAAAATGTTGATTGAAAATGAAAGCTGCACTGCCCATAGTGTTCAGAGAGCTGTGTGTCACTAAATGAAACGTAATGAAATAGATCTAGATGCGCAGAAGGAATTCACACATGGTCAATATACATCCACCAGTAGATGTTCCCCCTTGTTGCTAGGTGGGGGGGGGTAAACATGAAACTATTGCAAGACTTGTGCACAACTGTGTATGTGTGTTTCCAGATGGCGATCATCTTCAACCAGGAGGGCCTGAAAGCTGTTCGCCCCCCCTGTGTCATTCAGAGCTTCATCAACCACAACGCCGTGCTGTATAAAGTCTTCGTGGTCGGGGAGTCCTACACAGTGGTGAAGAGACCATCTTTAAAGAACTTCTCTGCAGGAATCTCAGGTCAGTTGTACCAATTTAAAAGGAAATATCCGTTCTTGGAGCCTTGTCAGGAAACATGAAAAATTTCTGTGAAAACACTGCTGAAGTGAAGGCAGCTGGTTCTGACATACCATGTTTCCTCTTCTGTATTGTTTCAATAGGAAGGAAAATAACTCAACTGCTCTGGAATACATACGAATGACATTCATATAGTAAATATTTATGCAATGGTAACCTGAGTCTTACCTGTTAGAAAAAGTGTTTTATGTCATGTGGAAAGGGGGAGAGTTCTCTTATTTCACAGTAAGTTCATGTGCCATTTGTTCCGGAGTTTGTTTATAAATGTGCTTTGGAGAGAATTTCCTGGATTCCATCATTTCAGAACTTCCTCTCCCTATTTTTACCTTGTTATGTATGTGTGTTTAAATTAAGGATCACTTGTGCTCTCCCTTAAATGAGCCTCCTTGTTCAAGTGAGGCCCAGTGTTGAAAACGCTGGTGGGAGATGTCCTTTGGTTTGTAGATACCAGATGTGTTGGGGGGAAGGAGGAATGGATTTATCAGTGAGGACAGTGATCCTTCTGTATGTCAACAGAAAGCAGCACTTGAAGGTTCCTCGTTAAAGATTACTTAGATTTCCTTTATGGAAAAAAACCTCCTTTCCAGAGAACTGCATTTTTGTGGTCCACCAAAAGCATAAAGGAATTAGCAGCATATGGATGGGAGCATGACCTGCTTGCAACTGGACAAATTCAGGAGGTGGGGATGGGATCAAACTAAAGGACTGGAATAAACAAGTGCCAGTTTTTTGTCTCTTTGCTTAGTGTTTTCTGCAGATTGTAGGATGTCCATTGTCCATTGCATTTTGCACACAAATATCTATTTTGTTTGTATAGGTATAGAAGAATTATAGAGATATATATATATATATACATATATAGAGAGAGACTTGTAAAAGTCCTTGTATGCAGCTGTGTATGCCTGTATTTACGTTTAGGTCTGCTCTATGTCCTGATCAAACTAAGTAGGCCAGAACCTGTGCTCATATAAACTGTTAGGACAGTTGTTTGATACTTTTGCATTTTGAAGGGAACAGTTTAAGGCATCTTTCTGAAAATGCTTTAGCTAATGTCTCATCTGTTAGTGTAAGCTTTGAAAGTTGTCTGCAAGTCCACATAAAAATAAACTTAGTAGGTAGATTAGGGTAATTGTCTCACTTTCTTACCCAAATCAGGAGAGTTTGAGGGGGCCATGCCACAGGTTCCTGACTAGGCAGATCTGATGATTAAGCAGATCCGGTGGCTCTGAGGCATGCAAGGAGCTGAGTGTCTGCTGTGCAGGCAGCCAAGTGCCAGCAGCAAAGTGCCTGTGGGTGGGGTGGGTGTCAAGGATGGCCCAGTGGGGACCAGGGCAAGATTCCTGGGGCTGCAGTGCCACCTACTGTTCTTTACACTATTCCTTTGGAAACTAAAATCTGGTATAAAGTTATTTACAACCCGTTTCTAATTGCAGACAGAGAATCAATATTTTTCAACAGCCACAATGTTTCCAAACCAGAGTCCTCATCCGTCTTAACAGCAGTAAGTACACTTGGTCTTCTTCCTTCTATCATGGCTGAAAAACTATCTAGTCCTTTCTTATGGAAGTGTTAGTAGCTAGTGACTCTCTTTCACAAGTTGTCTGCTTCTGTGTTGCAGGCTGAGGTCTGTTTGGTACCACGAACCAGCATGACTGTGTACCCCACTGGTTTTCCTTACCGAGCTCCGGTGAGGAAGCACTGATGCAGCAGGGCTGTGCTGCTTGCCATGCCCAAACTCCCCAGGGCTAACCTAGGCAAAGGGAAGAACGAGTTTCTGAAGGCAAACACCTGGCTTTTTCCTGTCCAGAGAGATTAATAAGCATAAATCATCCTTCTAGGACTCAGTTCTGTGAGGAAAGACGAACAGTGAAAATTCAAGCAGTGAAATCGTGTTGGCACAAGGCCACAGAGGGCCAGTAGGTGTCTGCCGTGTGAGCATGCCCAGGCTGTGACCACAGGACTATTTCTGGGTGTCCTTCGAGACCAGCAATGCCGGCACCCTGCAGTTTCATGCTAGCATTACCAGTCCTTTTAATAAGCTTTGCACATAACAATCCTAACAAGTTCTTGGGCACTCAACTGCTGAGAAAGTCACTTTACAGCACTGGGTCCTCTCAATCTCTAAATCTCAAGATTCTTTTCTGTTTCACAAGCTCTGCTGGGGACTAGTCTCGTATTTGATTGAATTTGATATGCAACACTGATGCTAATATTAAAATTGTAATTATACTATTTATAAATCTCTTTATGGTTATGTTAAGCAAGAAGCCATTCCTAAGAATTTACTTTCAAATTTAGAGAGCTTGCTCCTGTGGTTTGTTTACCTGCCATCTCACTCATACACATACATATTCCATACATTCTTCTGTAGGCATAACAGCATACTTCTGCTGGCTAACGTGTAAAAAGTGTAGAAAATTGCATCTTCTAGTCATAAGTAACCTGAGTTATTCATTTTAATAAATATTTATAGAATAATTTATACATGAAAACCCACATAAAAAGTATACTCTGCCCTGAAGATACCAGCTGAGTTTTGCTGTATGGCTCAGATTAAACTAACAACAGGACTCTGTCCTATCAGTCCTTTAGCGTAGACATTGATCTACACTGAAATAACAATAATATACAGAATATTTACAGACAGGGTTAAACATGCCACCTGTATATGTTTTTTAAAGTGTAGCTCTAGTACTTAAAACAGTGAGTCTGATTCTCCATTCACTCCTACACTGCTCTGCTTCTCCAGCTGCACCAGTATGAGGAGGAAGAACTAGGTACTTGAGCGCAGATGAATTTCCAATATAGGAAGGATTCTGAATTATGAAAGCAGGTTCTCTTTGGTGTCTTTCTCTCTTTCATGCCAATGCTGGTCTGCAATTAGACTTGATGGATATGCACCTGGAAACTTCTGAAAATCAATCTTTCCACTAAAAAGGCTCCTTCAGAGTCCCTTAGTAATGTGTCGTTTTCCATTGTAGCTGGATAAAATTGAAGGAGTATTTGAGCGGCCAAACGACGATGTCATCCGGGAAATCTCTAAGGCACTGCGGCAAGCTCTGGGAGTTTCCCTCTTCGGAATTGACATCATCATTAACAATCAGACTGGGCAGCATGCGGTCATTGATATAAATGCATTCCCAGGTGAGAAAAGCCTTTCCACTCCTGCTTTGCGTGGAGCAAGTTTTACTGCTGGTGTCTCACATCATTGCTTCCCCAGTTTGGGACAGGAAAGTACCATCCAGATGGTTCGGAGGTCAATCTGGGAAGGGAAGAACCCTAGTCTAGATATAGATAATCTATAGATATAGAATTTGCAGCTGAAATATCGGCTCTTAGGAGGTGTGGTCAAATTTTAGTGGCTAGTTGTAACATGGCTGTCATGCCCTTCCCTGCAAAGGGATGCCCAGGAACCGTAGTGTGGGACTGTGTGCTGGAACCTGGCTTTTCTGGGCCTGGCCCTCATTCTGAAATGAAAAGAAGAATAGTAAATTCTATTTTAGTAGAGTCTTTAAAGATTTCTGTTTTTTTCAGACTCTGTGCCATTAAAAAAAGATGAGGGGGTGGAAGTAACAAACTGTTCCCTTAAAAATCTCTTCCTGTGCAAACTGATTCCCTACAAAAAGACATTTGTGCACAAAAATAGTGCCGGGAATCTGAAGATGTTAAAATTGTAGGTGCACAGAAGAGTGCTGTGAAGAATTAGTATCTTTGCAAGTGCACTTTTAAGTGCATCCTGGAGTAAAAGAATAGATTGGAGCATCTAAGATCAGGTAAATTTGTCCTCTGCTTTTTTAGTTAACATATTTCTTGGAAGCAACTAAATAAACTCCTTGACCACTGGAATTGTTGATTTTTAAGTGTGTATAGGAGAAGGTCTGTTACTTGTGTAAATTCAGTAGCCTAACATAGAAAAAGAATACATCATCTCATTTGATGCTCTTTTGTATGGGATTTTTCTCTTTGAGAATCTCTTCTCATTACCTGATTGTTTTTTCTCATTACCTGCTGTGATGTTTTTTCCCAGAGACATACACAGGCTGATATGTAGTTTCTTTAACCTGTCGTTGAAGACTTTGAGTTTTCAAATCTAGAGATCTTGCCCTGAGCCCTGAGTCTCCTAAATCTTTCTGTTTGGGTTCTCAGTCCTACTACTGCCCTGCAGTGCTTTGCTGGTGTATCTCCACAGTGAGTGGCTTCCTTTCATAACTCAGCTCCGCTATTCTCAGGTCACTTTGCATCACAGTTCTACCATATGGTGTTGATGCAATCTGCAGACCTATGAAAACACTCTTCTGCCAAGAGCAGTGAAATGACCTAAATTTGGTGTCAGATGGAGCCATATCAGTTTTGTCAATGGGATTATATTTCAAACATTGGGTCTTGAAGTCAGTGATGCAGGAGATTCTTTTGCAATCCTGCATCGTGCATTTTGGTTTGGTGTTTTGGGATTTTTGTATTTTTTCAAGTATTGTTTTGGATTTGGTACTTTGCACAGAGTGAAATTCTCCTTTTCTTGAAATGTTGAAAAGTCCAGATTGGGGAACAACCACTAGCAAACATATATTTGCATATTTAGGGAGGAGTAATGTCTTCTTGTTGTGGCAGAGGTTTTCAGAACTGCCTTTGCTCTGCTGTACTTCTACTCTAAGGCAATAGTTTTCGATGTTCAGCCCGAGTTCTGTGTTTCAGTCTGCACAGTAATTGATCTTTGAAGGGACATTGAATTAATAGAGTGGTTTAGTCCTTGCAGACTCACACAGCAGTTTTTTCGTAGTGAACATGTGGGTAGTGAAGGTAGCTACTGGCTTTATCACCATGGGATAGGTTGAAGACCAGCTGGAGAAAGTCTAGAGGATAGCAGCAGGGACCAGACATATGAAAGAGAAGGCTGGGAGAGACAAAAGTGCCTTCCGATTTGTAAAAGGTAGCAGAGCTGAGAGAGATGCGCTTGCCCTTAAGGGCTGCTGAGGTTGGAGAAGATGCAATGGAGTAAAATGCAACAGAAGAAAAGTTACATTTCAGCACAGAATACTCTCTTGTTCAAAAGCATGTTCAGCCCAGGCAACTGAATTTCCCTCCAAGGGCTGGTATGAATAAAGGCTGAACAGGTTCAAGGTCCGACTTCATTGACAGGGCCAGCACATTGCTAATGAGAATTTCAAACTCAGCCCACCTCAAAAGACTCACTTCATCAGCAGTGGGTTCTCCCTGTTCCTGGCTCAGTGCAGTCCCAGGAAGGGGCCTTCCCTTTCTCCTCTTCTTAAAATCATTCGAGCCTGCAGTGGTTGCAGTAGAGCCAAACTGGACCCAAATTAGACCCTCCAAGGATCTGCTGCATTATCTCTGCACCACTGCTTTGAGAAGGGAGGGGAAGAGAGCCCTATAAGGAGCATTCACAGCCTCTTCCACTGAGCTCAAGCCACAGCTTGAGGCCAGGCCTAACCAAAGCCTTGTCCAGGTGCCTAGAGGCTTGCTGCCTTACTTGTGTGCTGTCTTTTATGTTTGCCAGGCTTGAAGCTCATTTGAACCTGCCACTCCATGGATGTCATGTTGAGATGCGTTTAACGTCAGAAGTGAGAGCAGATGTACCTGCAGGAGGATGTTGTCTGTTACCTGCTCCATTAGCACCAGCGACTCTTCAAAAAAGATTTTAAAGATGAATGTCTGAAAGGCCCCTAGTGTCTCTTGTTCAGTGGGAAACCACTGGGACTATATTTATCAGTGGCTAACAGCTGAGATATCTGACTGTAGGCACAGTCACGTAGCATATAGGGTTTATGTTTGTCTGAGCAGCCTGAGCAGCAGCTTGTGTGTGTTCTGCAGTCTGTCCCCGTTGAGGTGGACTGCTGGCTCTGGGTGAATCTGAAAAGCATCAGATCGGAACATGCACTTTGCGTGTGTTAACACATTGGCACAAATGCAGGACATGGGCTGTCCATTTCTCTCTGGCCAGGGGAAGATGCAGAAGAGCAGAGAATGTGCCAGATCAGGGAGTCTCCAAAAAATCAGGCAGGTAGCATTTGTAATGCTAGCTTAAAAATGCTCATAGCTGTTTCTTGCCTCCACCAAAGATCGCAGGGGGTGGGTACTTTTTTTCAGATGCATTGCTGGATGGACACTTTTCCTATCCATGTTCAGCCAGAGGACTGTGTTTTTAGCATAGCAAAGCTGAGGCTTGCTGTAGACAGGCACTTGCAAACTGGTTTCAGCAGGCAGTGCTAGGATAGCACCTGCTGGAGCACAATTCATGCAAGTTGTGTTTTGAGGCATGCTAAACTTATATTCTTCCACTGATGCCCTGTGTGACACTAACCCTGAATTCACTGCCAGTAGTTTCTGAAGGTGTAATTTAATTTACCCTTCTTGATTTTGTTATCGTTGTAGCACAGCTGATGTCCCACAACTGATTTGTTTGAGAGGCCTGCAGCAGCCCTTGGAACCAAACAAGGCAATATCTACAGTTTGCAGCTTTCCACAGGTGTTCTGTGACTCAAGAGTTGAGACATCTAGTTCTCTTCCTCCCTTCCTTGTATTTCTTTTTTACAATTTTTTGAAGTTTCTACTGAGTGGCCAGGCAGAATTACTTGGGCGTTTCCACCCAGTGTGCAGAGGGTTTGCCCAGTCTGAGCCTGCCTGTTACATACAGCTTCCTTACACTGTAACATCTGCCGATTTCAGGACTGAATAACTGGCCGTCTTATTTCTGTGAATTATTTAAAACAACATCTTTGTGTGTTTGCAGGTGCCCCCCGACAAGACTAGTTTGTTTTCAGTGAGCAGACATGGAACACTCTAGGGTACTATGGATCTCCTCTCTGAATATTAAAGCTGTTACTATGGAGATGGCTTATTCCCAGGGTGTTTGAAGCACTCTGAGTAGATTTGAAGGTTAATCCCACAGCTTTTACATAAGCAAGAAAGCATAACAAGCACTTCTGTCAAAGAGGTGGAGATCCTGTTCTGACTCCCATGGCCAGCCCCAAGAGTCCTAGTTGTCCCCTGCCGACCAGTGGATTATCATGTGAGGCACTAAAAAACTCGATGTTTTGAAATGAATAATTTTTTTGGTGAATCTGTTTAAGGGTCTTTGAGAAAGCAAAACTATGAGCTGTCGTCTCACATTGCTGGTGTTTTGTGTGACCTGTTAAATATCTGGGAGAATTGTGAGCAAGTACAATAAAATTAATAGCAATGTTTCAGCCTAAATAAGAGTTATATAGTTAACATATGGGTTATAAATACACCATAAAATCACCACAATTATCCTCTTACCTTATGTTTCTGAGAAGCTGGGTTTTTTATTGCCTAAGGAAGTTGGTCTTTACAGGAGAATGGAGATTAAAATTGAATTATTTATGGATCTGAGGAGCTATTCTGCGCAGTGATCACATCACTAAAAGTGTGTTAAAATGTGCATTTACTTTGTGGTCTCTGGTTCTGCTCATATGCTGCTGTGTGATGTGTGCTATTCACATGGGTCTTCTAAACTTATTTATTGCTTCAGTCTCCTGTATTAACCACACCTTCAGAATACTTTTATAGACCTTTTAAAACGGCCTATCCCATTAAATAATACTGAATGTCATATGTCACCTCTAAATAGTAAGGCAAACTGATAACAATTTTAGGTAATGCAGTAGCAGTTAAGATCCATTTCAAGACATTGTACCCATATGTTGCATGTCTGGTTCAATTTTAGAATAAATACCATGATGTGCCTGTACCAGAGTGTTTAAAATAGAGCCAGAAGCTCTGTACGCCTACTGCCACCCTTTGTGTCACCAAAAATGTCATGTCTCCTGGTACTTGAGCAACTGTTTTAACCAGGAAACTTGTTATTAAACTGCATTGTAAATTGTCTGGAATCATTTAAGAGAACATGCAGAAAAGTGGTTTCAGTTCCAAAATAAAAGATTGATGTTTCTATCAAATACTGTATCATTGATACATGTTTCCCGTGCCTTGAGTGGTTTTTCAGACACAGCAAGAAACATGTTTTAAGTGTCAAGTCAGGTTAGATTAGATGAGCATTACATTGCTTCTTACACAGTGGGAAGCTGCCTCTTCTGGAGGATATAAAGCCAGCCCTGCTGTCCTCTGAGGTTTCCCTAACTGAGGGTATTGCTGGGCAAAATCTAGTGAAGAGTCCAGACCCTCAAGGGAGCTCTACATTGGAGCTACTTGCCATAGTAAACCTGGAAACAGGATGGAAAAGATCATCATAGCCCAGAGTCGGTAACTTATGGAAAAACCTGGACTTGGCAACAAATGGTAGAATATACCTAAAATTGTATATACACATATATACCTGGGAGGAAAAAGAAATAACAAATCTGAAAGGCAACAGTTTTTCTCATTAGAAAAAAAATTACTTTTATTGCAAGAGTCTCTATTCCTCTTTATGCTAATCTGCTCGTGCTGTCACTTAAAATGATGTCATGGAAAAGAGCCTTTTTATTATCAGTTGGAGGACAAGGACAGCCCAAGAAATAAATTGTTAAAAGAAGTCTTTCAGAGAACCTACAAAAATTACTTAATTTCCTTCTTTTCTTTCCTTCTTTTTGTTCTCTTTTCAGGCTACGAGGGTGTTTCTGAATTTTTCACAGATCTCCTGAACCACATAGCTGCTGTCCTGCAGGGTCAGGTACCTGAGGTGACCCAGCTAAACCGCAGCAAGCTCCTGGCAGAGCAGACCAGTGGGATCATGGACGAGCGGATATGCTGTGCTAGCACAGGCTGTCTCAGCGTCATGGGAAAAGACTCCTCCTGGATTGTGGAAAGCGAGACCAACAGCTCAGTAAAACTGCAACACCAGAGACTAGGCTGCAACTCAGCAGTGTCCCCCAGCTTCCAGCAGCACTGCGTCGCTACGTTGGCAACAAAAGCTTCTTCTCAATAACTTGCCAATACCATGGACTGAGAAAAAGCCACAGGGATACAAATTGTGGTCCCAGAGCCAGATTAGGCTGTAACAATACAATTGAGAAAAAAAAAAAGGAAAGAAAAAAAAAAACAAACACAAAACACAACACAAAAAAGCAAAATTAAAAAACCCTTCCATTTGATTTAACCTAATGTGCTGATAAAACGGACTGAAAGGGGAAGAGCGAGAAAGTGATTGAGATCCATTTCATCAGATTCCAGTTGCAAATCTGTAGAGAGTTTACACATACATGTGTTTTAACACTAGTCCTTTCATTGTGGGAGGGTTGCTCTTTCATTTCTATTGTTCTTTGTAATCAATGGTGACCAGCATTTTAAAATCGGACCTCATGGTATCAAGAAGATAATAATTTTGCAATGCAGTGTCTGAATGTAACAGTGCTAGAGATTTTTGCCTAAAATATTCCCTGTTCCTTTTTTTTCCAGGTAGGCTATTGCAAAAGAAGGCTAAGACAACTTCAGTATCACTAAACCAAATCTCTTGAAACATTGACCAGTCAAGATGTTGACAGGTAGCTTGCTGTGAAGCCTCTGCACTTTGAGTAGGATAGAGCAGCCTGCTTGTTCAGGGGCAGAGCTGAGGTGACCACCCCTGTTCCAGCCTTCCTCCAGGCCTCACTGCTTCAGTCAAAAGCAGCTTCTAACCACATTTGCCAACAGTGACATGGTTTCATCCAGAGAGTGCCAGTATTTAGGCTGAGTGATTTGAGTAGATTAAATAACATCCTTTTTATCATCTGCTAGTACTGACATCCTGGAGAGTTAATGGAAGCAGCTGAGCTCTTAGTGGAGAATTTATTTTCCCTCCGTTGCGCTTGTGAGGACTCTGGGAGAGCTCTGCAAAAAGGCTGGCAGAGCTGTGCATTTTACTTGGAGCAGTACACCTGGTCTGCATATCCTGAGGGGTAACTCAGTTGCTGCCTTCCACAGATCCATGCTGTTGTGCATTTTTTTTTCTGCAAATTAAACAGAACTGTGTACCTTCATATGAGGTAGAAGTACAGGACAGCTCTAGCTTGGAGACCACATTATTTTGTTGCAAGCTGCCAGGTGAGGCCATATGGTAATTTGCAACAGTGCTTTATACTATCTGTAAACTATAGCGTGGCCAATTTGTTATCTCTTGAGATATGCAGTGAACCAGCGGTGTTCATCCTCTGTTGCATCTTCTAGCATGGCAGCATCTTCTGCTGTTGAGAATTCCTGCAACTTTTGCTAATTCTGAACACTAAATTGGAAATATCCAAGTGCTGAGAATGGAGACACTATTTTGGAAGAAGGAGTGGCCTTCTATTCCCCTTATAAGCCCTAACATACAATATAGAGGGGGGTGTTAAGAAAATTTCCTTCGTTAAGCTCTTAGCTTGCATATCCAGGAATTTCTGTCTTTCTATAGCAGGTGTTCATAAAGCATCCGCCAGTGCAGCATCTAGTACCAGTGTGGTTAGTATCATCTGTTAGATAGCTACTCAAAAGGATCTAGAGCTTAAAGCCCAGGTAGATCACGAAGAGAGGATTAAACTGTAAAAAAAAGGTGTCACCACCCTACCTGATAGTACCAGTCCTGGACGGGAAAAAGTTTTGAAGAGTGTTGCGTAGCAATTCTTTTGTGTAATGCTTTTTCCTTGGGAGAAATTGGTCTTCTTCCAAAAGGCCATTCTTCGGGATTTTCTTAGCCAAGATTGATTTTTTTTCGGGATGATTTATACAATAGAAGATGATTCCACCTCTAGAGGGATTACTACCTTTAAAATATTTCTATGGGAACTGAAAGGACCTTATGAGTGTGGTATCAGTCAGATTCCAGGGTGCACATAAATGCAGCCAACTTCCTCAAGTATTGCAGATCAGTTCTGAGCTGGGCATGCTTCACAACCCTTGTATGCTTTGAGGCTGCTGGATCCCACGTTGTCTGCAGCTCGCAGGTCTCGGATGGTTGTGGTGTGAGTGAGTCAGATGTACATAGGGATTTATAAAAGTATACATGACAGACCAAACCTTTCGTAAAGCCATGACTGAAATAAAATTGACATCTACACTTTGGGGTTTGTTTTTGTTTGTTTAAAATAAAAAGTGTTTTTATGTTACATGTGTAACAAAAGATACCCTCAGGAAGGAACTTGCCAGTGCATATTTTTGTATGGTACTTTCTTGTAACCAGCTGGTGGAGTGTTTGTAGACTTGCCTATTGCTCCCTTTATTACAATGGCTTGGGCTTTTTTTGGTTTTTTGGTTTTTGTTTCTTTATTGGGTGGTGGGGATGGAGCAATGATGTTAAAACTGCTTTACTAACTCAAGACCTTTCAAACTAAGTATGTTTACATGAACTGAGTGTTGGATCCAATGGAAATGTCTGTATGCTGTTTCCTAGTTAGAACATCAGATAAGAATTTTATTTTCCTGGCTGCCTTCTGAATTTTGGTTGGCCTATTTTGCACTGCTTTGTTTCTCCAAAATAAACTACTGAAATATAATTGTGCATTTTAAACTTGTTTACAAATGATTGTTAGAAGTTTATTTTGTAATTCTCTTAATGCTTGCAGAAATACTATATTTAAATATTACTCCAGACCTTGGCAGTAACTAGAAAACAAGTTTAGGTCATTGGTGTGATCAGTGACATTTTTCCCATAGTCTGTAATTTATTTTTTATTTATCGAATGTATCGGTATCACTTTAATTTACCAGGTGCAGATATGCAGGTACCTGTTGCGATGTGGCATTACAATAGAGTTTTCACAGAAATTACCATGCAATTGCTATACTACTATATTTCCTTGCAGAAATTAATGTTGTGGCTCGTATATTAGAATATTACTAAATCACAGGGGCAAATCGGGAGACCAACTTTTAAAAGCCAAAACTGTAAATTACCAAGTATCCAGACATAGTTACATTATTACAAAATATTCAAGCATGAGTATGTTATTAAGCCTGCGCTGAAGTGCTTTTCTGAATTGCTGCCTCATTTGGTAATTTCAGAATAGGTTTGATTTAAGATAAGCTTCACAGTAAGTTAGTTAATACTCTGTAGTCTTGTCTTTCTTTGTAAAAGTAGAGGAGTGTAGTAACATTAGACCATACCAGAATGCCCTTGCTCTTAAAATTGCAGACAATCCGGGGAGATTTTCCATAATTTCTGTTTGAATTCTGTTATTGTGGGTTAGAAGAAGTTTTTTCTGTGTTTTCAGAGGCATCACTATTATTGCTGTGTTGATGGGAGCAATTGTATTAAAATTACATGGTCACCAGTTAGCTTTTTAAGGATTTACTTTTGTTCTGCTTCACTATTAGAAATCCACAAGAACACCATTAGCTTGACTGGAATTTCTCCATGTTTTGTGTCAGCATAGTGGAGGAGATGGGACTCTGGTTTCCACTGTAATTATATAATCAGCTTCAACAGGTGAAGATTTTTCCCTGTTGAAGAGAACTTGAGTGGTATTACTGCTGCCTGCAATGTAAAGTCATCACCACCCTCCTCCCCCTGTAGCTGGCTGGGCCACGTTGTGCTTGAGTTTGTAGCCTATGCCAGAACATCCTGGTCATTATGTGAAAATGTGAAAACCATTTGCAGAAACGCAGCCAAACCAGGAGCATCGGTGCTGTCACTTGTGGTTTGTGTAATGCAGAACTGCCACTGGGCCAAAGATGGTTTGCCTTTGTTTGACCACGGGTCTGGCTGTGCAACCTTTGCGCTGAGGAGCTGATCGACTGGGCTGGGGGGGCAGAGAGGACATATTTATTAGTACTATTCAGACTGTTGTAATGATAAAGCTGTTTAAAGATCTCCATCCTCAGTGAAGGAATGTTTGTGTAGAGGAGGTCTGTAGCAGGGTGTGCAGATGGAAATCTACCAGTTCAATTTGTTTTCATTATAGATGATTACAAATTAAGGACCCGATTCTGAGGCTTTCAGGAGGTTATGAGGATGGTTCAAGATAAAGCCTCGAGTTTCTCAGAATAAACATGAGCAGTGTCCAGCCAGGGGACAACCAGGTGGAGCAGTGGTTGGATAACAGAGGCAGAATACAGTCCAAAGGCAACAGAATAAAAACACCAAGGGCCAGAGGTGTTTGAATTGGCTGGCAAAAAAAAAAAAAAAAAAAAAAAAAAAAAAAAAAAAAAAAAAAAAAAAAAAAAAAAAAAAAAAAAAAAAAGGCAAAACAAAGGAAAAATTCTTCTGTTGTTTCCATCCAATTAAAATAATCCAGACTTCTCAGTTCTTAGGCTAACACTGGTTTCCTAAAGTCTTTGCGTGGCAGCAGTGACAAGTGAGTCAGGCTTTTCCACACTAGCTTGCAGCCTTGCCTTCTACAGCTGTGCAGAAAATCTTGGGTTTTGGTTTTTTAGTGAATAGAGCCTATTTTGAGTTAATAGCAGTCTCCCCAAGTGCACTCTTGCAGGAATTCACTTGCATTACCCTGATAAGTTTTTTTTTTCCTCTCTCCTTTTTAGTAAGAGATGTATTGATTTCTGTATTCAGTATAAAATTACTTTATGGTGTGTGTTTTGTAATTAGGAGTATGTGAAAATACTTTGTGTAGATTAAAATATTTCCTTTAATATAATCTCCTCTCGCTTTCATAGATAAATGGACATGCTGTTGCAGATCACATTACTGATTTTATTTGCAATATTGCTTTAATATCTATTTCAGAGGAATGTAACCTCCAGAAAAGTACTTTCCACATCTTCACTACCTTCCCTTTCTCTGTTCACTGTGTGTAGATCCAGGCCATCAACACCTGAGCTTTTGACTGGATGGGTTTCAGATCCTCCATGGATTCTGTCACATTTACATGGCCACAAAAATTACTAAAGATGGTTGAAGTTTTTGAGGACCCAGGTATAAATAAGAGATGTTAGAGTAATTCCTCAGCAACACAAGCACAGTAACGTTTGCAGCAAGCAAAGGAAATCGTTTTCACTCTCTGTGTGCTGTTGGCTGTTGGGCTCTGGTCCACCCTGATGTTGGGGTAGTTTTCCTGTGGAAATAAAAAAATCCACTGTGAGAAAACGTCCTGTATCTGTGATGCAGGAGGGCAAGGAGGGTAGGGCTTGGGAGTAAAATCCTGGCCAGTGGAAACCGTGATACCAGTGGTCCAGAATTTCACTCTGTGGTTTTTAATAGCAATCTGGGGAGATATTTTCTTTCTCTCCATGATTCTTATCCTGAATCCACTGGGGTGGATGCTAGGAGATGCCTGTGGCCCACATGAGCTCATTAGCAGGTGACCTTGCCCAACATGTCATAAGTTTGCAGAGGGCTCTCAGTGTCTTGGGAAGTTTTTGTTGATGGCCGGGAAATCTTTTGAAACTCCAGAAATAGCTGAAACAGCAAATGGAGTTTATGAAAATCAGGTCTTCCTCTTCCAGCCTTTTTTAAGAAACCCACATTTTATTTCCTTCTTTGTTCTTTACACAGTAGTTTTTAGATATAAATTATTTTAACTTTTTTTGTGTGAAAAGTCATATATACATATATAAAGTTATTAAAAGGTTGAGTATATGTTGAGTATAAAATAGTGACTTCTTTGTTTCAGATGTTAGCAGTCCCTAAAATGGGTTGTCTATCCTCTTGTAAAGTCAGTGCTGTAAAAAAAAAAAATTAAAAAAAGATGTATTAGATGTATCTTTTATTATTTATTTCTGATTCAGTATTTGATACAGCTTGTGTATACCCTTGTGATAACCACATACTAAAAACACTGTCGTTCTTAAAATGGAGTAACAATTCCTTGGGATCCCAACAATTTTGAGAAAATTGGCCCTCTGGGTGTGAATAGTGTTGGATATTGTCCTTCAGTCTCCAGCATTGCTCCCCACCTAAGCATGGCTGAATCTCGGGGACCATTTTGTGTGTGTGCTAGGTTGCGCAAGTTCATTGGTATCTGTGTTCAAATCCAGCTGTACAGTGTTAAGAAGTGTGTCTTGTGATTCGCTTCAGCCTGGTTCACTATGATTTCTGAAACATAATTCCCATTTTGTACTTAAATTTGTATAGAATTATATAAACCCATAAAAGATCATGGCTTACTGTAAAACCCAAAATACTTGCTATTTGGCGTCTTCAATTGCATGACTGATCAGATCTGACAATGAAGATGGTGCTTTCATCTAACAGCATTGATTTCAATGGTAGTATATTCATTTTCTTTTTGTTTGCCAAGCACCTGTTTTTGGACAATGTTTTGGTTTCAACAGTAAAGCAATATGCAGTAGGTATTGTGGCATTATCTCTGTAATTGTTTTGAAGAGAGAATTGTCCCTTTCCAACACATAATGAAAATAAATGCCTTATAACAAGTTCTACTTTGCTTCATCTTTCTGAGTGCATAGGGCAGCGAGATGAACAGCTTTTTGGGAGAAACTTGTTTTCACGAGAATTGAATGTTCACATCCTTCCTGAGTGCAGTTGTTTGCAGTTGTTTTGGACATCCTTATACCAGAAAGATTTTATTTGATTTCTCTTCTAACAATTAGAGGGAAGTCAGCTATTTTTAGCTTGCTATATAACACACCTAAACATCACTGGGATTTAAGCTACTCTTATACATAAGAATTTATTCATAGCGTAGGCTTCTGAGGTGATTGTTCTTTCATCATCTGGGATAGGAATTCTTGATTTCTCAAAAGGTAGCAGGAATATTTAATCAGAACCCTGTTTTGGCTGGTGCAAGAGAGAGAGAGTTATCTCACTGAGCAGCAATAAATTTTGCTAAGCAACAGGCACTCTCACAAGGGTGCTCATTAGATGCTGCCTGGGGCTTGGTGCAGCAACCCCAAGGCAGGGCTGGCTGTGGCAAACAGAGTTATGGCTGAGCAGAGCAGCAGCTACCAGCTGGTGAGGCATCCTCCCAGGCCTTGCACTCAGGCCTTGAATACCATCCTTCCCTTGGAAGAAAGTCCTTGGGTCTCAGCTGTTCTGTGGTCTCAGCTGAGCTTCAAACTGGGGCATCTGGAGTACAGCCCTTGCAGTGGATGGGCCTTTTCCTCTGCTGCCAATACACAAAGAACATCTGAAATATTATGATTTTTGTAATATTTTGGAGACTTTTGGGGCCAGCTTCCCCAGCCCAGGCACCACCCAGTCCTCCAGCTGCCATGTAGCCTGAAACCCAAGGGATGGGGACAGTTCTGCCTGTAAGCACAGTGCCAGCCAGCCGCCACGACTCCTGTGGGCCGGCACACGGGAGGGACATCCCCTCGGGCTGGGCCTTCACCTCTGGGGAATCACAGACCAGTACTTTTCCTCGTGACTAGCCTATTTGTTGCTTCTTTTTTTTCTAAACTACCTGTGTGTTGTCCGAAGAGCTTGAGTTGGTCAAGCATTGACACAGTGTTTAAACTTTTAATTGTTTTCTCTCTGGTCAGCCTTGTGTTCACCAATGGACCTTGGTTGTGACCCCTGAAGCTCCCAGGTCTCACTGAAGCTCCCAGGACATCCAGTGCCAGGGCTGAGCTGTGCAGC